ATTTTAGCATTATTAGATTATTATATTAGCACACTGACTGTTGGACAGCATTCTAAACGTGTCAGGCTATTAACAGCGCGCTGAAGATCTGAAGTTCAGAGTGCGTCTGTCAGAGGTCAGACGCGTTCCAGCGGAACCACGGCTCACGGGTGCACAAGTGAGCACATCTGGGCTGGGCAGAAGTAATTTTATAACATTGGTTTAAATAGCGCCAATAACGAGACGCGGTGACTGGAGCGGCTCATGGAGCTGTGCCGCACACACACACACACACACACACACACACACACACACACACACACACACACACACATACTGATTCAACAAGCGCACGCTTGTCTGTGCCGTCAGACTGAAGGCAGAAATGAGCGCTGCCGCTTCCGTGATACAAACTTTTAAGAGGTTTTATAACAGCATTTTTCATTCAAGGTCACATTAAGATATTAGCTTCTTTTTGGGATGACGTATTAAAGTCAAGTCCACTCCAGCCAGTGACTCCTCATGAACCTGACCACAACTCATGTTACTGCAGCATTTGTTGTTCCAGTCCGCGTGGCAGCGGATCGCAGATTCAGCCACACCATAAAACAGCAATAAGTCGGTCTGAGGCAAAAGTGAACCTCATGGCTATATCTTTTCCATATTTTCCCCTATAGACATTTGATTACGCACAAGTAGGTGACCAGTTCAGGTTTACACAGAGCAGAAGGAAAGAGAGAGCTCTGGTTAAACGTTCCTGCTTTAAGAAAACTGTTAAATTGCATTGTTGACGTGCTACCTGGGCACTCTAAATATTGATTTAAAATTAAATCAAAGGAAATTGTAATGGTATTGACAGTTTATTAATTACTATTTCAAAAATACATTATACATAAACATAAAAATGAAAGTGATGGGGAAAAAGGTCGATCATTTTTTTTAACCCTGTCTGTCGAGTAACTGTTTAGCGTGATGTCTGATATATATATTTCTATATATCTGGCTATATTTATATATATATATATGGCTATATTTATATATATATATATATGGCTATATTTATATATATCTGGCTGTGTATTATATAGTCATGCCCTGATGTGGGGCTGGGGGGTGCGTCGACATGGTCGGGACATAGAAGGGGGTGCGCGGCTAAATAAGATTGGGAACCACTGTCCTATATCATCGTCTCCATACATCTGTACCATAACCCATAGGCGTCATTTTAACCGGGGATGCCGGGGACTTGTCCCCGGCAAAATTTGTGATTGGCAGCTGTGTCCCCCCCACTTTCAAAAAATCCTGCTGATGAGGATTTTTGTTTTACCAGCTCAGATCTTATATCTATGAGGTTCCGAATGTGCCAAAAATGTGTCTATGTATTGTCTCAGTCTGTCATTACTCTCTGTTGTCACGTGCTGTTGTCTGGTGCTGTTGTCACGTGCTGTTGTCTGGTGCTGTTGTCACGTGCTGTTGTCTGGTGCTGTTGTCTGGTGCTGTTGTCTGGTGCCGTTGTCTGGTGCTGTTGTCACGTGCTGTTGTCACGTGCTGTTGTCTGGTGCTGTTGTCACGTGCTGTTGTCACGTGCTGTTGTCTGGTGCCGTTGTCTGGTGCTGTTGTCACGTGCTGTTGTCACGTGCTGTTGTCTGGTGCTGTTGTCTGGTGCTGTTGTCTGGTGCTGTTGTCTGGTGCTGTTGTCTGGTGCTGTTGTCACGTGCTGTTGTCTGGTGCTGTTGTCACGTGCTGTTGTCATGTGCTGTTGTCATGTGCTGTTGTCTGGTGCTGTTGTCACGTGCTGTTGTCATGTGCTGTTGTCATGTGCTGTTGTCTGGTGCTGTTGTCACGTGCTGTTGTCACGTGCTGTTGTCTGGTGCTGTTGTCTGGTGCTGTTGTCACGTGCTGTTGTCTGGTGCTGTTGTCTGGTGCTGTTGTCACGTGCTGTTGTCTGGTGCTGTTGTCACGTGCTGTTGTCATGTGCTGTTGTCTGGTGCTGTTGTCACGTGCTGTTGTCTCGTGTTGTTGTCACGTGCTGTTGTCTGGTGCTGTTGTCTGGTGCTGTTGTCTGGTGCTGTTGTCTGGTGCTGTTGTCTCGTGCTGTTGTCTCGTGCTGTTGTCACGTGCTGTTGTCTCGTGCTGTTGTCTGGTGCTGTTGTCACGTGCTGTTGTCTCGTGCTGTTGTCTCGTGCTGTTGTCTCGTGCTGTTGTCACGTGCTGTTGTCTCGTGCTGTGACAGCACATTTAAATACATAGACACATTTAAATACATAGACATAGACACATATAAATACATAGACACACATTACAGCAACGCAGTGCAGTGAGTGTACAAATACATAGACACGCACAGAAATACTTAGACACATTTTTGGCACATTCGGAACCTCATAGAAAAAGTGTGGGTGTTGCATCCCCCACGGGTGCGACGCCCATGGTACCGGCTGCTGTCACCTGTTGTGAGCAGCTCTCTGCTGTCTGAGGGTAGGCCCCGCCCACAACGCTGCGGCCGCTGTGGCTCCCAGTGTTTTCATTACTGTGGGTAACGGGTAATAATGGCTCTTTGATGGGAACAGGTTGCCGACCCCTGGTATATATGAGGTTCCGAATGTGCCAAAAATGTGTCTATGTATTGTCTCAGTCTGTCATTACTCTCTGTTGTCACGTGCTGTTGTCTGGTGCTGTTGTCACGTGCTGTTGTCACGTGCTGTTGTCACGTGCTGTTGTCTGGTGCTGTTGTCACGTGCTGTTGTCTGGTGCTGTTGTCACGTGCTGTTGTCACGTGCTGTTGTCACGTGCTGTTGTCTGGTGCTGTTGTCACGTGCTGTTGTCTGGTGCTGTTGTCACGTGCTGTTGTCTCAGTCTGTCGTTACTTAGACACATATAAATACATAGACACATATAAATACATAGACATAGACACATATAAATACATAGACATAGACACCTATAAATACATAGACATAGACACCTATAAATACATAGACATAGACACCTATAAATACATAGACATAGACACATATAAATACATAGACACACATTACAGCAACGCAGTGCAGTGTGCGTACAAATACATAGAGACGCACAGAAATACATAGACACATTTTTGGCACATTCGGAACCTCATAAATGCAGTCTGAATCTTTTCTATCTCTTTCTTCATATTAACTCTCATTGAGTTTTACTCTGAAAATCTGCATCATGTTTCATCAGGAAGACCCGTCTGTGGGTGTTTCACTGGACTGTGCAGACAGAAAGCTGATGACTGTTCCAGATGACCTCCCCAAAGATGTTGTTTCAATACAAATTCATCAAAATCTGCTTCAGAAAATTTGCAAAAATTATTTTCTAGACAAGACGAGGAGCCAAGGAATGAACGAGTACACCAGCTTTGAGAAATATGAAATATGAACCTTTTTTGTTGTGCAGAAATTTTTTGGAACAATGTTTTTTGCATGCTTTTGATTATGTCTGTAAATATGTATTTGCATTCATTGTGGGGAAAAGTTTTCAATTAAAGCAAAGCAAGAAGAACCCTATTTAAATTGTTACATATTGCAAAGCCACTGTGGTTTGGGGACATTTTTCCAATTTATTTAATTTTTCTTTCAAAGCGATTTATCTGGCCTGGATCTGCTTGTTCTACACACATCTGTACGTGGCTGATTTATTTCTATAAATGCTTAAAAATCAAGGACGTAATTTTCACTTTAGAAGTGGGGGTGGACACGGGGGGGGGGGGGGGGGGGTATCTTTACAGTATGTTCTAATGGGAAACCGGCTTCAACGGTTGTTTTCCGCTTGGTCCTAGTGCTCAGCCAGTGTCAATTTAATATAGCGTAATATTATTTTTGGATGGTAAAAAGTGCAGGGGTCAAAACTTGACTTTGGAAAAAGTGGGGGGGACATGTCCCCCCTGTCCCCCCCCCCCCCCCCCCCAAAAAAAAAATTACATCCATGTTAAAAATAAACACTTCTGTAGTTATTTTCTGATTATATTCATCAGAGGTGTGACCAAGTCACTGCTTTCCATTTCACAAGTAAGTCACAAGTCTTTCCAGTCAAGTCTCGAGACAAGTCCAAGTCAACGACAACCATGTCCAAGTCGAGTCCAAAGTCAATGATCTGGAAGTCCAAGTCAAGTCCAAGTCCTTAACTTAGAATTTTCAAGTCATAATCAAGTCATCTGTCCGACTTCAATTCAATGATAATAAAAAAAATTGCAGAAATAAAGCTTCTTAAAGCTTCATTTATTTGCTCAAACAAGCAGAAAGTGCAACTGAAACTGATTATATACAAAGTGCTGCTGCATTTAGCAGAACAAGATCACACCCACGACGAAGAATGATTTATGATTTTTGTCCATGTCGTGTCACTTTTGTGCTAAATTATCAAATATGCTCAAGTCGATTCAAGTCGTAAGTCTTTATAGATTTTATCAAGTCAAGCCAAAATTCATTAAAAAATGACTCAAGTCTGACTCGAGTCCACGTCATGTGACTCAAATTCAAACCTCTGATATTCGTAGTCCATCATTATTGTGATGATCATGTTTAGCTGAGTTTTTTAAAGAATCCATTTCTAGTGTCTTTCAAAGTGGAACAGAAACCAAGTTCAGTCCTAATCTGTTTTTTTGTTTTTTTGTTTGTTTTGTTTTACTTTTCTAAGCACTGAAGCACAAATTAGAGAAGTGAAACCTCATTCGTGAACTTCAGTTATTCAAGAGAGAAGCAACATGAAGATGTGATGATTGACAACTATAATAAAAGTTTACTATCCATAACGCTACGTTCAAAGTATTCTAAAGTTTTGGGTTCATTTAGAACCTCTTCAGCTTTCTGAAAACTTTCTTTAGCTGCTTGTCTTTTACTGGGAACTTAAATAATGCCGACTCATAACTCCAGCCTGGCTTATCTCCACTTTTCTCTCCAGTTTCTAAGTGATTTAAGGTTTAACTGTTGGCTTTTAAATGTGTAATGTTCTGGTACTGCCATATTTATCTGACCTCCTTCGCGTGTACACTGAGGGGCCCAAATAGAGTCAATTTTTTGTTTTTTTTACATTCACTTCTGTTAATTTAGCTGATTTTCAATAGTTGTAACTGATGTTTTAAACATTTTTTATTAGAAAATGTGACCGTGAATTTTATTTTTTCTTTCAGTCATTAACTCTGACCTGTGTGGGGTTAGCCCTAACCCCAACCCTAACTGTATGGAGTCAAAAAGGGAAGAACCGTTGTGGCGACACATAAAAGACCAAAGGGGTGATTTTTATACCGAATCTTCAGGGTGTTTATTACCAGCTGTGTGCCATTATTTTGTTGACATTAAGTGGTTGAACCAATGACAATTTCACTGAAAATAACGAGACATTTTGACACTTAAAATAGTTTGTGAGCAGCACCTGGCTGATTCTTGAGTGGATGACTTGCTGAATGAGTTTGCATCTCTCACTTCCGTTTTCAGAACAAACAAGCTTCGATCGAATACGGACTTGGCAGGAAAGGACAAAGTAAGTTTTATACTTTTGTACATTTTGTACGCACAAGTTTTAAATGTACTAAATGTATTTATGTAAAGAATTCAGCCCACGTATTGATCCAATCAACTGGCCTTCAGCGCTGTGAGGACCGAGAATAAATTCAGACAGTGACGGTTTACTTTTTACCACAGCTGGTTGAACCCTGCGTTTTAGTTCCTCGTTTATATTCTTTAAATCCAACAATTTCTAAATTCAAAACTCAGAAGTCTCTCTCTAAATCAAGCTGGGATCTTTATTAAATAAAACAGCACTGTGCAACTGAAGTTGTTTTTTCTGTAAGTAAATGTGCATTGGTGTATTTTGCAGGTTATTGGAGGGCCCGATCAACCACAGTCTCTCAATAAAATCATCATGAGGTCTAAAGGAAATTTATCTTTATTGATTTTTATGCTCCTCTTTATTCTTCACTGTATTAACCATTCTCTGGCTTATTTTCTGACTAACTGCACCATGATTATTCAAGAGACTCCATCTAATGAAGTGGCTTTAGACTGTGCAGACAGGCAGCTTGTCGCCGTTCCTGATGACCTCATCAAAGTTGCCGTTTCAGTCAAACTTGGAATGAATCGGATTCCGAAAATTAATAAAGGCGATTTTTGCGACATGGGAAGATTGAGTTACCTGTTACTGTATGGAAATGAAATTACTGTTGTGGACGATGGATCTTTCACTGACTTGGTTTTGTTGAAAACACTCGACATCAGTACTAACAAGCTCACCAACGTGACTTGTAACATGTTCCAGGGCCTGTCCAACCTCACCATGCTTGATCTCAGTCAAAACAAGATTCGATTCATTCATAACGCAGCCTTCCGGTTCCTGATCAGCTTGCAAACTCTGTCTTTACGTTACAATAAGCTCCAACAAATCTGTGACATTGCACCCATCCGAGATCTTCCACAAATACAGGAGGTTTTTCTTAGCTGCAATCTATTCTCTTCCTTTGAGACCAAAGACTTGCCTCAGAACTTCTCCTCAAACCTGAATACGTTGGAAATTTCTGGTAAAATCAGGTTCAGCATCTCAACACCAGCCTTTCCTTATATCAAGACTCTAGTGTTTTTTGCTTGTGGATATCATAATAATCTGCAATGGGACATCCCTGACAAAGCTTTGCTGCAGAACATAACAGATCTTTATCTTGATCAGCAAGAGATTTCTGTTGAAGCCATCCAAGAAATCCTGCAGAGTCTCGACTCCCTGACTCATTTCAACCTTTCTTTTTTCCGTGAGTGGGGTGAGAAAGGACTTTTGTCTGAAATGTGTAAAAAAGCAACACTGAGGAGCTTGAATTTATTTCAAAGAGATCTCAATAGTTTCACTTCTCAACTTGCTTCATGTTCTCAGCTCACGAAGCTCAAGCTGGAAGACACCTACCTAAAGGACCTGCCAAAAGGTTCCATCCTGCCGATGAGGAAACTACGTTTCCTGTCCGTAAGCAGAAACGAGCTCAACAGAGTTCCATTCGATGTCAAGCACCTCTCCTCCCTTGAGACCCTGAGATTGAGAAATAACCTCATCTCCGAGTTGAGCTGTGAGGATTTCATGAACAACACAAATCTGTCTGAGCTTTATCTGAACGCCAACCAAATCAGCAAAGTAGGTAGATGTGTGTTTGAAAGTCTTACTAATCTAAAGCGTTTAGATCTGAGTGATAACATGCTCACAACAGTGACAGATGCCTTCAACAATGCCCTGCAAAAGCTTGAGGTCTTGAACTTAAGAAAAAACTTCATAAAATGTATCAGAAATGATTATTTCAGACATTTAAAGTCTCTGAAACGTTTAAATATTGAGTCGTATCTGTTTGAAAAGGCAGAAAGTAAAGCGTTTAATGGATTAAAGAACCTGGAAGAGCTTACTTCATCACTTCCGCTTGAAGGTTTTGGTGAAATTACACATTTACAACTAATGGAAAATCTCACAATTATCTTGCCTAGCAATAGACGTTTCACAGTATCAGAGTCAACAAATGATCAAGGTATCTTCTTCAAATCCATGAAAAGTCTCACAGTGACTTGCAAAAGTGGCCTTTATTACTTCAATATGGAAAAAGTTCAGTCCATGAACCAACTGGAAATTTTCAAAACTGAAAATGTTCTTTTTTATTGGCAAGATAAGTTCACATTTGAGAGGAACACCAGGCTAAAGACTCTGACCTTAACAAAATCGGATTTGTCAAAAATCAGATCCGAGCTTTTACAACCGATACCACACCTGCAGATTCTAGATCTTTCTCAGTCTAAGATCAAGTCTTTGGATTTCCTGATGAGGACCAATCTGACTGAACTCAGATATCTAATACTGGCTGACAATGAGATTGATGTGATCAATGAGCTGGTCTTCAGTTCTCTCCCCTCTCTAACGTACTTGGACCTGAGCAACAACCCGCTCCTCTGTGAATGCTCAAACTCTGGTTTCATCCAGTGGGTGAAGAACAACAAACAAACAATGGTGGTAAACACTCATCAATACAAATGTTCCTTTCCTGTGGAAAAACAAGGAACAAAATTACTGGACTTTGACATCCAGCCCTGTTTGGATGATGGCAGCTTCTTCTTCTTCATCTCCAGCACTTGTCTGGTTGTTCTGACTCTCCTCACATCCTTCATCTACCACTTCCTGAAGTGGCAGCTGGTCTACACGTTCCACCTCTTCCTGGCCTTTCTCTACGACAGCAGGAAGGGGAAGAAACAAGATCCTCACCAGTTTGATGCCTTCGTGTCCTACAACGTCCACGATGAGGACTGGGTTTACAGAGAGATGCTTCCGGTGCTGGAGGGAGAGCAGGGCTGGAGACTTTGTCTGCACCACAGAGACTTCCAACCAGGTAAACGCTGTCCTTTAGTTTTCCCTTGTTTATTGTGTGTAATGAAACGTGGATCAGGCCAATTTGATATCACAATATTTTTATTAAAATGCGGACAATGAAGTTCCAGGACTTGGTTAAATACAAAACAGCACAAATAATGTAGAAAGTAAGAAATAAATGAATGCCTGATAAAATACAGAAACTGTTCACAGAGAGAGGAGGATATAACCTGAGAGGGACACTAAACTTAAAGATACATAAGTTTAGAACAACATTAAAACAGATGTGTATCACAATAACAGGGGTTAAATTATGGAATAATTTAGAAGAAGAAATCAAAGTAAGTACAAATATAAATGTGTTTAAAATGAATTATAAAAAACATATTCTGAACAAGTATATAGTGGAAAATAGATGATTTATGTGGGTGTCCTTTATTCTAAGGAAAAGTAAATTGTATCAATTGTAAAAATATGTTTTTTTTTTCTTTTTCTTTTTTTCTTTTTTTTTCCATATGGTTTGGTGGTTTTTGGTTTTTTGGCGACTTGTACCATTTTGTTTGTTTTAATGTAGGTTTTGTGTTACATTTAGTAAACAAGTAAAAATTACTTGTATAAAGGGGTAGGGACATATAAGTTTCCTCTTCAGCCTACTCCTTTTCAAACAGAGAAGAAGGGATGATGATATGTATTTTTTCTGTTTGTGGTTTAAAAAAAATATGGATGTTTTTCTTTGTTTGAAATAAACTAAAAAAAAACAATCTTCTCTTGTCCTGAATGACATCACGTTGTGCACCACAGGTTAAAAATATTCAATTTTTTAGTGAATTTCAAACTTTATTCTCATTAAAATTACCTCAGACATCACTCATATGCAGATGATTTTGTCACAACTCAGAACAAATAGCAGCTCAGTGTTTCAGGCAGAATATATTCATTTTAGATTTGGACAAAGAAAAAAATGTTTTTGTCAAAATTTAATTTGCAGAATTCTGCCATGAATGCACTTGATGTGATTATTCTATTTGTTTGATTTCAACGTTGAAATGATCTGAAAATAATGACTCACTGATAACTTTAGTAAGCATTAGCTAAATTTGAGTTTCTTTTAACTTTGCATATTCTGTGAGAGATGATGTCATTATTCGAGAGACTCCATCTAATGAGATTTAATGTTCTTTTATGTTCTCGTGCGCCTGCAGGTAAACCCATCATAGAGAACATCACTGATGCCATCTATGGCAGCAGGAAGACCATCTGTGTGATCAGCCGCCACTACCTGCAGAGTGAATGGTGCTCCAGAGAGATCCAGATAGCCAGGTGGGGGCGCTGTTGTTTAGCATACCATGTTCAAATTATTTGAACTGAGTGTTAAAATGTATTCTAATGTAAACGAAATTGGTCATTTAATAAGGATGTGTTTTTGTGTGTTTTACAAAGGATCAGTTTTATTACTGTTTTGATGTTTTTATGCAGTTTTATGACTTTTTCCAGTGAATAACTTGTCCAGAGGTTTGGGTCTGGTTGTACAGGTTGTACACTATTTGACACCAAGTTCTAAATGCAACAACCTTGTCTAACTCCTGCCTATGAACTCAAAGTCTGCCACAACTGTTTCTACTTATCTGTGCCATCTCACTCTGTTACAAGTCTAGTATGACAATTGATTAAAATACATTTTGAAACACACATTTAAAAGAAGCTCGGTCATCCAGGAGGGGCTCGGAGTAGACTTGCTGCTCCTCCACATCGAGAGGAGCCAGTTGAGGTGGCTCGGGCATCTGATCAGGATGCCTCCTGGACGCCTCCCTGGTGAGGTTTTCCGGGCATGTCCAACCGGGAGGAGGCCTAAAAGGAGACCCAGGACACATTGGAGGGACTATGTTTCTCACCTGGCCAGGGAACACCTTGGGATTCCCCCAGAAGTGCTGGCCCAAGTGGCTGGGGAGAGGGAAGTCTGGGCCTCTCAACTTAGGCTACTGCTCCCGCGACTCGACTCTGGCTAAGCGGAAGAAAATGGATGGATGGATGGATTTTTTATTTATTTATTTTTTTTTTTGTGTGTGTGTCCTGTCTGGCTGTGAAGCAAACAGAATTTATGTCTGAATGCTGGTGACAAGTCTTACAGATTTACTCTCAGGTGGAGCATCAAAGCGTCTGCTTTAAATGTCACGCCTGATACTTAAAACTTTATTGTTATTGTTTTTGAATGCTTTGTACTTCCAACCAGACACGGAGACAGAGGTGAAAGAGAAAGGAAGAGACAAAAGAGAGAGAGGGGGGGGAGGGGGGGGTTTCCACAAAAATAAACAATAATGAACAAGAATCTGCTTCTAGACCTGCAGAAAGAGTGAAGAATAAAATGGGGCACAACAACAACACAACAAGATCTAGCTATCACTGCGTCAACTTGATGAAGAAATATATAATCAACATTGTTTAACTGAACAATCACACGATAATAAATCACAGTGCATTAAGTGCCCACCATAGTCTTAAGACCTGTGTTGAACGTGCCCAAGTCCATACTTATGAGAGCACCATGTGAGCATCTGTGTGTGTAGACGCTCTTGTTTATGTAAGGTTTATCTATAGGAGCGCCCAATAGAGAGTGTGAGGGGCCACAGATCTGCCCCCTAAAGATGTGTAGGAGACGGGGGGAGCTCCAAGTCCCAGAGATCCAGCAGTTGCCCCAGAGCACAGGAACTCCAGGGAGACTGCGACCAGAAAAGCCCCCGCTCTCCTCGAGAGGCGCAGAGGATCGCCCCGGGGGGCCACAACCAGCAGCCGGCAGAGTCCAGGGAGACATCGGCGGCAAGCCCACAGGCCCACCCGCAGCCTCCCACCCCCTAGCCGGTCGAGCCCGGGACCCAGCGACCCGGGACCCAGGGCCGACCAGCCCCGCCGGGGACCCAGCAGAGCCCAGGGACCCAGACCCCATCAGGGCAGCCACCGGGATTGGTCAGGCAGATGCCAAAAATCTTAAACTCCGTGACCCGGGAGCCACGACCCAGGCAGACCAAGGCACCGCATTCCACTCCACACCAGGTGTGGCAGGGGGAGGGGAGACAAAGATCTATGTCATCACAAGAAGTCCCAGGAGAAGGGAGGAGTCAAAGGCCCCACCTGACATATACAGTCATACACAAACACAGTCACACACCACCTCCCTCATGCTCACACATGCACATACAACCCAAGACTTACAAAAATGCACGCTGGACACCCACTCATGCTCCCCATACACACCTTATTCACTCTGGTCCTGGTACTGCTGTACATGGGGTACAACCATCACCGGTTACCAGAGTTTGACCCTTTCTGCTGGGGTGCTGATGAGCAGGCTCCCCCGCCCAACGCTGAGCACAGCAATCTACCACCCCAGACCCCAACCGGACGGCCAGATCTCCCTCCTAGCCTCCAGCCCCAGGAAGCCAAGCGACAACAGAGGTGGCTAAGACCCCTAGTCTCCCTCCGCCTGCTCCAATATGGTGTTAGTGAATATTGATGAGGTGTATTCCATGGCTGTGGTGAGCGGGCAGTGCGGGCATCGTCTGGCCTATGCCAGCTGATGACACCTCACCACCCCACTTGCACCCACAGCCCTCGGTGTCTAAGTGCAGTTTAAAATTGGAAGTGAGCACCGGCACTTGGGATGAGGCTGAGAAATCCCCCTGCCAAATGCCGTTGGATGTGCTCACTCCCAAGGCCCTAAGTGTGTGTTTGTGTAGAATGTCATTGATGAAAGTGTTTAAGGTGCAAATAAAATTGGGGGGCAGGTTGCCACAGGAATGGGGAAATGGGGTCCATAACTGCACTCCCTGATTTGTCCACCCCCCAAGGTCCTATGTGCATGTTTGTGTGATGATGTGAGGGAGCAGGAGGAGAGAAATATGTGGGGATGGGGAGGAATGGCTGGTTTGGCTTAGCCCTGGATGGATGGAATTTAAAAGTACTGGCCCAAGTGGCTGGGGAGAGGGAAGTCTGGGCCTCTCGACTTAGGCTACTGCCCCCACGACCCGCCTCTGGCTAAGCGGAAGAAAATGGATGGATGGATGGAATTTAAAAGTACTCTTTCTCCTCCGTCTTCCTTTGTTCAGCTTCCGCCTATTTGATGAGCAGAAGGATGTGTTGATCCTGCTGTTCCTGGAGGAGATCCCTTCGCATCATCTGTCTCCACACTACCGCATGAGGAAGCTGATGAAGAAACGCACCTATCTCAGCTGGCCTCAGGCGGCACAACACCCAGGAGGGTTCTGGCAGAAGGTCAAGAGAGCTCTGCAGACAGGAGACACTCTCACTGAGAACACAGACCTGCTGACCGGAGCAATGGAACACTGAGAGAAGAGACACAGCTGGCTCATGTAAATATGTCAGGTATAATGTATTTAATCATCATCCAAACACTTGTTTGGATTGTGTTTCTACAAGCACAGTGCCACCCGGGGGTCAATTATGTACATAATTCTTGTCTTTCAATTTAGTTGCATTTGTTCATGTCTTCCAATTGTACTATTAAATACTGTCCTGTGGCTCTGAGTGCACTTGTTTTTACGTCACATCATTTGTCAGTATTTGCTTGCCTTTAAGTCCAGATAGTGTTGATGAGTGAAAAGTTGTTCTACTGATAATAATTTAAAGAATTAAAAAAAAACTCCCAAGTTTTCTAAACTTTGTTTTACTCTTTTTAGAAAGGTTTGTCGTGTTTTTAAGAAAAATGTTAACGAAAGGAGAAAGGAATTTGTTTTTTACTTACGTTTTAGTTTACTGGTGTTTAAGTGAAGGTGGTTACGCTTACACCAGTCCACAAAGTAGTTCCAGGTCATTCCCCACAGACACACAGCCGACAATGGCCGAGTCATCTGAGAACATCTGGAGGTGACAGCTGTTGGTGTTGCAGGTGAAGTCTGAGGTGAAGAGAAAGGGTGAGAGCACCATACCCTGTGGAGCTCCAGTACTGCGTACAACCACCTCAGACATGCAGTCATGCAGCGTCACGTACTGTGGCCTCTTGGTGAGGTAGTTGATGGTCCATGCAGTCAGATGTCTGTCCACTCCTGCACCCCTCATCTTCTGCTGCAGTAAAGCAGGCTGGATGATGTTGAAAGTACTCGAGGAGTCAAAAACATGACTCTCACAGTGCATTATTGAAACTTGAGGTGTGGGAGTTGTGTGAGTTTAAGTGATAGGGGGTGATTCACTGGGTGCGTGTGGGGTGGTGGTGGTGGTAACTGTTGTAGATGTGAAGGGGATGGAGTCCAACTTTTTGAAGAACAAATTAAGCTCATTGGTCCATTGGTCCTGATCTCCCTTGACTGTCCCACCGGAACCTCATCTCCCACAGTGATATTGCGGAGTCCTCTCCATGCACCTTGAGAATTGTTCTCCCCCAGCTGTTCCTCCAATTTCTTAACTGTAGCCATCGTTTGCCTGTATGATCTTGTATTTGAGTGCCTCCTGGACCACCTAAGATTACTACTGAAGCTTACATAAGAAAAAAAATGTTCTCTTTTACAACATTTTTAACTGTTACAGTCAGGAAACCAATATACGAGCTGGTAGTGTGTCTTTGCATAAAGATTTTCAGAAACATTTGCAGCTGAAGTGAAAGAGGATTGTGTTCAGGGTGGGTTGGTTCATGTATGTGATTTTTGGTTTTGTGGCCGCAGCGGGTTCTGAATATTTAACCAAAAGAGTAAGCTGTGAGCTGGTGATCCTCAGTGCTGGGTCAATGACTCTCTGAATGACCTTCCTGTCCTCACAACTATAGATTATGCAGATGATGGACGATGGGGCACAACTAAACTAAAATAAAAACATCAGCATTGCCCCCCCCCCCCCCCCTGACTTTTAGAAAAAAGAAGACTCTGAAGACTTTATACCCTGTAGAGCTGTACAAATTAAACATGATTTGAACATGAAATTTTTTCCTCTCTCCACATCCCAAATAAGCTCTGTTTTGTAGTTGAAGGCAAGAGTCCACATCTCAGCTCTCAACTTCCTTTCTTCAGGCTGACTGGTTGAATTTCCCAGCTAACAGTGTGCTGCCATCTTTTGTATCACTGAAGGGTTTGCAGTCGTGCATGGGAGAGGGTGGTGGTGACAGTAATAGAAGACGTGGTATAAATAGGATGCATGCATATGACCTCCAATTGACATGTTAATTGAAGTTTTAAAACGCGAAGATCAGTGTTTCAGTTAGAAGGTCTGGAGTTGCTCACCTAAAAGAACTTGCTGCTATTGTGGCGTGTTGCAAAACGCACACAACTCATTTCTAGCTTCCCTATTAGAGAGAAATTTTGGGGAACTGAAACAACAGTTGAGTTGACAGATAGATGCATCAGATCAGATAGATCTGATCATCAGTGGTGAGTACAAAATGTTTTGTTCTAACTTTTCGAATAAATTCAAAGTCAAGGAGTTTGATTTAGTAAAAATGTAATTTTTTTCTCCAATGAAAAAAGCCAAGTCTAATTTTTTTATGCATACGCTTTCTGCATCTTTATGGTGATTTGAATTTGTCAGAGCTGAAGTTCTACCACATAATTTCAAGAATAGAATAGAATACAAAATTCCTTTATTGTCCCTCAGCGGGGAGATTTTGATGTCACAGCAGCAATCATATTGACAGCAGCCAAAAAGAATAAAAAACGAAGAGTTGCAAATTGAACAAAAAATTAAGTATGTCTAAAACTAAGAACGGATGTCTCAGACAATACCACTCAATAATGTTTTCCTGCTTGCAGCACACACAAGTCACCATAAAAATCAGAAAACACTCATTAGCAGTTTAACATTATAGCATCATGATACAGCAAGAACTCCTTCTTGAACCGTCACCTTATCGTGGTGGAGGAGTTTGAGTGCCCTAATGATCCTAGGAGCTATGTTGTCTGGGGCACTATGTGCCCCTGGTAGGCTCTCCCATGACAAATTGGCCTTAGATGAAGGGTGAGACAAAGAATGGTTCACAGGATCTTTCATGGAAGTAAATTCCCGGAGGGTTACCGGGGTCCCACCCTGGAGCCAGGGCTGGGGTTGGGGCCCGTGAGCGAGCGCCTGGTGGCTGGGCTTTCGCCCATGGGGCCCGGCCGGGCCCAGCCTGAACCGGATACATGGGCTCATCCAACTGTGGACCCACTGTCGCGAGCGTGTCCCATTTGTCGGTTCCTTTAAAACCTGGTTCCGTTAGAACCTAAGACTGCGCTGCTTTCTCAGGGTTCGTGGGGCGTCGGTTAGTTTTATTGTATTAGACCCTGGTTTGGACTCCCTAATTAGAATCAGTTTCCTATTTTAAGGTGAAATGAAATGCCGTACTTAGTTCTTTTGTGATAGCACACTTTCTTTTTAGTTTCTCTCGTTATTTAGTGGTTCTAAATACTAGGGCAAAGTTTAGCAGGTGGCCATCCGTTGCTGACAATTCTTTGGGTTATATTAGGATTAATTTGCGCCTCTATCAGCTTTAGTGGGCGGTGGTAACTAGAAAATGATTCTTGTTAGGTGATCAGACTAACATTGAATTATTAATTAATCTAATTAATCCAACCTTCCCACGCTGGCAGAGACTTTTTCACACTTGCAAACAGAGCCTATTTTAACCTACTAATGTTTTGGCTTATCATCCTTAGGACATCTCGTTACTCACGGGAGAGGAAAAGACTAGCTTTTTCACCTAAGGTTTCTTTTTCTTAATCTGTCACAAACTGTAAAGCAAATCCTGATAATTCAGGAACCAGTAATTAAATATGCTTACTTCTCCTTATTGTTTCAGGTCGGGGCCCCAACTCAAACCTTTAAAGAGGACCTTTAAGAATCAGGGATGTGGATTCTTTTTCCAAAAAGTTTATTACAAGATCAAAAAATACAAAAAAATAGGTAGATATAAGACTGATCACTTCCCCCAAGGAGAAATGCTAATCCTAATAATTAACTAAGAATAATCAGATGGCTTGCACCAACTCTAAGTCTTCTTCAGCTTCAGGTTAACAACCTCTAACACACACACACACACTGTCTCAAATTGCAAAATACAAAAAATGAGTAAATATAAAACTAAACTATCCCCTGTGGAGGGTGTTAATGCTAAAATCTTCATAAGAATAAATGGTTGACTTGTGTCAACGCTAACCTGTCACTCTCTAACTCTAGGTATGACTCTCTCCTTATCTCCCCAAAAACTGACCTCTTCTATCCCAAATCTGCTCTGTCTCTCACTGTCGACTGCCCCAAAATCTCCCAGCTCTGCTTCTAGCTGCTCTTTTTATACTCTTCTTGGGACAGCCTAGACAAAGTAAAAGTATTCCAGTTACACATATATCATTATCACATGACAGCAGGACAATGGGGTCATTTGTCAGTTTCATACTTTTTAGCTCAACACAAGACATTTGGTGTTATTTTTGCAACTGATCTTCAACTTCTCCCGAAGTCCAGGATTCTTCATGACGGGTTTGTCCACTTCTGAGATGCTTTATCTTCAGTTGATCTTCTTTTGCCCCAGCTTGGATGTTTGTTGGGCAGTTGGGCCCCTGTCTTCTGGCTGATTTTACTCGCATAAGCAAGTTCATTGTGTTTCAGTGTGGGTCCAATCTTATCTCTGTGGCCCACCTTTTGACCCTGTTTCTTGCCACTGTCTTTGGCATATGGGAACTTGCAAAACCACCACCCGCAGGACAAACATGAAGGGTCCGGTGCAAAGTGGATCAGGTGGCAGACCGAGGCGGGAGCCTTGGCGGTCCGATCCCCGGACGAGGAAACTGGTTTTTTGGGACATGGAACATCACCTCGCTGGCGGGGAAGGAGCAGGAGCTTGTGGCAGAGGTTGAGCAGTCGGACTCACCTCGACATATAGCATTGGCTCTGGAACCCAAGTCCTTGAGAGGGGTTGGACACTCTCCTTTGCTGGAGTTGCTCCGGGTGAGAGGCAGAGGGCTGGAGTTGGCTTTTTGTTAGCCCCAAGACTCTCTGCCTGTGTGTTGAGGCTTACCCCTGGGTTCAAGAGGGTAGCTTCCCTGCGCCTTTGGGTCGGGGAACGGGTCCTGACTGATGTTTGTGCTTATGGGCCAAATATCAGTTCAGAGTACCCACCCTTTTTGGAGTCCCTGGGACGAGTGCTAGATAGTGCTCCATCAGGGGACTCCATTGTCCTGCTGGGGGACTTCAATGCCACGTGGGCAATGACAGCGTGACCTGGAGGTGTGTGGTTGGGAGGAACGGCCCGCCTGATCTGAACTCAAGTGGTGTTTCGTTATTGGATTTCTGTGCAAGCCGCAGTTTGGCCATAACGAACACCATGTTCGAACATAAGGATGCCCATCGGTACACTTGGTACCAGGGCAGCCTAGGTCGCAGGTCGATGATAGACTTTGTAGTCGTATCATTTGACCTGCGGCCGCATGTTTTGGACACCCGAGTGAAGAGAGGAGCGGAGCTGTCAACTGATCACCACCTGGTGGTGAGTTGGATCAGATGGCAGGGGAAGATGCCGCGTAGACCTGGCAGACCCAAACACATAGAGGGTCTGCTGGGAACGCCTGGCAGAAGAACCTGTTAAGACGGTCTTCAACTCCCACCTCTGGCAGAGCTTTGACCGTGTCCCGAGAGCAGTGGGGGACATTGACTCTGAGTGGGCCTTGTTCCACTCTGCGATTGTTGAGGCGGCTGTTGCTAGCGGTGGTCGCAAGGTGGCCGGTGCCAGTCGTGGTGGCAACCCCTGTACACGCTGGTGGACACCAGAGGTTCAGGGAGCCATCAGGCTGAAGAAGGAGGCCTACAGGGCGTGGCTGGTCTGTGGGTCTCCGGAGGCAACAGACAGTTACCGTATAGCCAAGCGGGGTGCAGCAGTGGCAGTTGCTGAGGCAAAATCTCGGGCGTGGGAGGAGTTTGGTGAGGCCATGGAGAAAGACTATCGATTGGCTCCAAAGAGGTTCTGGCAAACTGTCTGGCACCTCAGGAGAGGAAGGCAGCAACTCGCTCGCACTGTTTACAGTGGGAATGGGGAGCTGCCGACGTCAACTGGGGCTATAGTCGGACGGTGGAAGGAATACTTTGAGGAGCTCCTCAATCCCACCTATGCGCATTCCGAGGAGGAACCAGAGCCGGGAGATCTGGGGATGGACTGTCCAATCTCGGGGGCAGAAGTTGCTGAGGTAGTCAACTACACAGCGGCGGAGCCCCGGGGGCAGATGAGGTTCGTCCTGGGTATCACAAGGCTATGGATGTTGTAGGGATGTCATGGTTGACATGTCTCTGCAACATTGCATGGTCATTGCAGTTCCTGTGGAGTGGCAGACCGGGGTGGTGGTCCCCATCTTTAAGAAGGGTGACCTGAGGGTGTGTTCCAACTATAGGGGGATCACACTCCTCAGCCTCCCTGGAAAGGTCTATTCAGGGGTTCTGGAGAGGAAGGTCCATCGGATTTTTAACCTCAGATTCAGGAGGAGCAATGTGGGACGCTCCAGGAGTATGGGGTGGGTGGCTTTCTGTTCCGGGCCATTCAGTCCCTTTACCACAGGAGCGTGAGTTTGGTCCACATAGCCGGTTGTAAGTCAGACCTGTTCCCAGTGAGGGTTGGACTCCGCCAGGGATGCCCTTTGTCACCGGTTCTGTTCATAACCTTTATGCCGTGGTGTGGAGTGTGTTGAGTTTGGTGGCAGGAGAATCTCGTCTCTGCTTTTTGCGGATGATGTGGTCCTCCTAGCTTCATCCAGCTCTGACCTTCAGCTCTTGCTGGGTAGGTTCGCGGCCGAGTGTGAAGCGGCTGGCATGAGGATCAGCAGCTCCAAATCTGAGACCATGGTTCTCGACCAGAAATGGGTGGCTTGCCAACTCCGGGTCGGGGGAGAGGTCCTACCTCATGTGGAGGAGTTCAAGTATCTTGGGATCTTGTTCACGAGTGAGGGTAGGAGGGATCGGGAGATCGACAGACGGATTGGTTCAGCGTCTGCAGTGATGCTGATGCTGAGCCGATCTGTCGTGGTGAAGAGGGAGCTGAGCCAGAAAGCCAGGCTCTCGATTTACCGGTCGATCTACGTCCCAATCCTCACCTATGGTCATGAGCTTTGGGTAATGACCGAAAGAACGAGATCGCAGATACAAGCGGCCGAAATGAGTTTCCTCCGTAGGATGGCTGGGCTCAGCCTTAGAGATAGGGTGAGGAGCTCGGACATTCGGGAGGGACTCGGAGTAGAACCGTTGCTCCTCTGGATCAAAAGGAGCCAGTTGAGGTGGTTTGGTCATCTGGTCAAGATGCCTCCTGGATGCCTCCCTGGGGAGGTGTTTCGGGCATGTCCTGCCGGCAGGAGGCCCCCGGGTCGACCCAGGACACGTTGGAGAGGTTACATCTTCAATCTGGTCTGGGAACGCCTTGGAGTCCTGCCAGAGGAGCTGGTGGAGAAGGCCGGGGAGAGGACGGTCTGGAGCTCCCTAGTTGGGATGCTGCCCCCGCGACCCGGACCCTGATAAGCGGAGGAAGACAACGACGATGATACAGCAAGAAAACACTAGCAAGAGTCAGTCAGCTTGTTAAAGCAGAAAGTGAGTTTTTGGTTCAAGAAGGTGAAAACTGTTTTTTGTGCATGACATAGACCCAATCTCAATATTCGCACTGCGTCCTGCAGTCTTCAGCAAAGTGCACTTGGAGAAAGTGCGCAGTAGGGTTCCAGTGCGCTGTACACAAGTTAGGTTAAAAATTGCCCTGACTGTTCGGTCTCTAGATCAAAGCAAAGTGCATCTCTAAATATAGGGAACTGCTTTTTAACAGGTGAAGTAGCACATAATAACATTTAAAACACTTTTGTTTGTGTTCTCTACAGATGATCGGGCAGAACCAGCACTGAAAATTTTACCGCAACTCAGTAAACATGGCCACCAAGGAAACTTTATCTTTACACTCTGTTGTGGGACTTCTCTGTTTGCTGTGTCTTATTCATTTGTCACTGACTTATTCATTAAAAAACTGCTCCATAATCTATCAGGAGAATCCCTCTGCTGAGGTTGCTCTGGACTGTGCAAGAAGGAAACTCGTGACTATCCCTGACGATCTCCCCAAACACACTGTGATGGTACAACTTGGAGAAAATGTGCTCAAGAAGATAATCAAAGACGATTTTTGTGACATGTCAAAGCTGAGCCTCTTGAATTTGACATCAAATGAAATTGCAAGCGTGGAAGACGGATCTTTCACTGACTTGGTTTCATTGAAAACACTTGACATAAGTAGTAACAAACTCACCAACCTGACTAGCAACATGTTCCAGGGTCTGTCCAACCTGATTGAACTGGATCTCAGTGAAAACAGCATCACGTTCATTCATTCCTCGGCCCTCCAACCTCTGGTCAGCTTACAAACTCTGGATTTGAATGAAAATGGGCTCAAAGAGGTTGCTGACATTGAGCCCATCCTACTGCTACCACAGATACGGACACTCCGCCTTACGTGTAACCAGTTTTCTTCCTTTGAGACCAACGACCTGCCACTGAATCTCTCTTCTAGTCTCAAAGTGCTGGGCATTTCTAGTTTTCAGCTGGAAACATTCAGCATCGCAACACCAATCTTTCCCTATCTCCAGAAATTAGACTTTTCTGGGTGTGGACAACAATATTCTGAACTTCAGTGGGATATACCAGACAAAGCCTTACTGAGGAACATAACACATCTGTATCTTACTCATCCAGGGCTTTCCTTTGAAGATTTCCAAAACATCCTCCAGAGTTTTGAGTCTCTGAGTCATCTAAGACTAGCATACTTGGACTTTGAAAAGGGACTCTTAACCACAATCTGCCAAATACAAACACTGAGGAAGCTGGATCTGTTCTACAGTGACCTCACCTCTTTGTCAATTGAACCTTGCTCACAGGTCACAGAGATTGACCTGACATTAAATACCATAACTGAGCTGCCAAAGGGCACATTTCAATCAATGAAGCATCTGCGTTCCTTAAATGTAAGCCTGAACTCACTCACCAACATTCCATATGATGTGAGGAGCCTAGAAGGCCTCGAGGTGTTGAACCTAAATGGAAATCTTATATCTAAGCTGACTTGTGAGGATTTTGAGCAAACAAATCATCTTGCAGAGCTTTACTTGAACTACAACAACATAGACAACCTGGAGAAGTGTGTCTTTGAAAGCCTTACCAATCTAAAGATTTTAGACGTGAGTAACAATTTGCTGCAGGCATTTGGAAACACCTTCACGACTTCCCTGCAGAAGCTGGAGGTCTTGGACCTGAGCCATACTGTGTTAACAGTCGTACGAATCTGTGATTTTCAGGACGCCCTGAAACAACTTGATGTGGAAACGAGTTTTTTTGGGAGAGAAAAATGTAACTCATCTTCTGAACTAAACAACCTGGAATCTCTTGATATACAATTCAAATTATGCAATTATGATAACAATTTGGAAATTCTTCATACAACCAGTCAAGATGACTTCATTCATTTAAAGTCAATGAAAAGATTCACGGTGATCTGCAACAATGCTGACCAAGGTTTCAACACGTATAAAGCAAAGGCTTCATCTTTTCGACCTTTGACCTTTCTGCTAAGGGCCATGGAAAATTTGGACACTTTTAGAGGTGTCCATGTTCACGCTTCACACGTGGGAACATTTCAGTTTAACTCCCAGCTCAAGAGTCTGACACTAGCTAAGACGGATTTGTCTGATTTGAATTCAAAGTTCTTCCTATCAGTCCCAAACCTGCAGAGTCTTGATTTTACTGAGAATAATATAACGTCTTTGGAGTTTCTGGTGCAGGCCGAGCTTTATGCTCTCAGATATCTGAAAGTGACTGACAATGAGATCAATGTGATTGATGATTCAGTCCTAAAGTCTCTGCCCTCTCTAACGTACTTGGACCTGAGCAACAACAAGTTCACCTGTGGATGCTCAAACTCTGGTTTCATCCAGTGGGTAAAGAACAACAAACAAACCCAGGTGGTAAACGCTCACCAGTACAAATGTTCCTTTCCTGTGGAAAAACAAGGAACAAAATTACTGGACTTTGACATCCAGCCCTGTATGGATGATGGCCGCTTCTTCTTCTTCATCTCCAGCACTTGTCTGGTTGTTCTGACTCTCCTCACATCCTTCATCTACCACTTCCTGAAGTGGCAGCTGGTCTACACATTCCACCTCTTCCTGGCCTTTCTCTACGACAGCAGGAAGGGGAAGAAACAAGATCCTCATCAGTTTGATGCCTTCGTGTCCTACAACGTCCACGATGAGGACTGGGTTTACAGAGAGATGCTTCCAGTGCTGGAGGGAGAGCAGGGCTGGAGACTTTGTCTGCACCACAGAGACTTCCAACCAGGTAAACGCTCAATGAGTTGTTTACCAAAATATGAATGTGATTAAACATGAAGTTACATGTTTGTTTGTTGGGGGGGGGGTTGTCTTTTTTTTTCAAACTTATGAAAACTAAATAGAAAAAATTTTTTGGGTCAGACTCGGAAATGGGGCAAATATTCTCACCTGACTTTCCAGTCTTCGATAACGTTTCTAGAATTACACAAGGATGGTTTAGTCTAAACACTAGAACTAGAATTGCTTGACCCACTGTTTCTGCAGGTAAACCCATCATAGAGAACATCACTGATGCCATTTATGGCAGCAGGAAGACCATCTGTGTGATCAGCCGCCACTACCTGCAGAGTGAATGGTGCTCCAGAGAGATCCAGATGGCCAGGTGGGGGCGTTGTCTTTTACTGTACAATTTCACATAAAACAAACTTAAAAGACGAAGTTTAATGAGAAACCATTTTTACTTTTTTTTTTAAGATCGGTCTCTCTGAGTTTCACACGCAGGCTGAAAGTGAAAATAGTCTCTTACCCCTATTTCCTGCATTAGCCACTGATGGAAAGCAAATGGCAAAAGGGTCTTTTTGGAGTATTTCTCTTGTCCAATGGCACCATCTAGTGGCTGACAAGCATATCACACAAAAAGTCTGTTGCTCTGTTTTTTAAGATGGCGACTTCACGTTTCTTGTTTATAAATGTGCTTCTGCAGCTGACAAACAGAGCTAAAACATGTTGTTTTGCAAGTATTATTCTCGTATCATGTTGTGTTTTCATATATTTATATTTTAAAGACTTTCTTGTTCATGAAAAGTTCATAAACTCTGCATCAGTCGAGGTATTCCTTAACTTTTAAGCATCTAAGCGGTAGTCTAACACTATTGCTTAGTTCTGTTCCGCACTCAGTTTCCTATTGCACGGAGCTCTGCGGGGCAGGGGGTGTGCTTAGCAAAAAAAAAAGTATTGCTTACACTATATCACAGTAAATGATAAGATAATCACTTTTACAGATTTCTGAAAAATCATACATAATTTCTGAAAGTAGAAAACTCTGGAAAGCTACTTTAAGAGTGCGGAAGTTGACCCTTTGCACCCTTGATCCTCATTTCGCCCAAGTCTGCATCGATGCAGACTTCAAAAAAGGGTATTAACTTGTTGCGTGGGAATTTTGAGAAGAAGCCGGAGCAAGGGCTCAAGTGCCTTTTCTGAAAAATATATTTTCAAATTAAGTTTATTTTAGGATGATTAGTGATGTTTATTCGTGCTCTGAATGTTTGAAGATTAAATGTGGACAGCAATGAACGTAAATTTTGTCAAATAATTGTTTGTTTGAAGAAAATGACTCCTAGGGCATTCGTTGTTACCAGAGACCACTGCAAATGTACTAAAAAAAGAAATGAAATTAATCTTTAAAGTGAAATTTTGCAAACAACAGATGGAGGCAGATGCTTTGACGTTCCTATCTTCTAGTGTTGAAACTGGCTTTAGGGATAAGGAAATTCATTTCAGTTGGAAAAATAAGTGTGCTGTACAGAAGGTGAAGAAATACCAACATGTCCTGGTTAGGCATAACTCATGGTTTTATTACCTGAACGTTGGCATTTCTCCTGTGGTCCTCAACCAGAAACCAACTCTATATTGAGAATGAGCCTTTGGTCAACAAAGGGAAGTAGATTTTACGGGCTTGCTTGCAAAAAACAGACATGCTGCACTAATCTGTGTTGGTGAAGGAGGCTGAGTTGAAAGACAAGGCTCTCTGACTGTGTTACAAGACAACAAGCTTTTTCCTACACTTTGGTGTAACTCGTCATTAGACATGACCTAGTTCAAGTTCAAGTTTATTTATATAGCGCCAAATCACGACAAGAGTCGTCTCAAGGCACTTCCCACAGTAAACATTCCAAAACAGGTCAGTTCATTAAGCCAATCAGAAAAAAGTTTCCTATATAAGGAACCCAGCAAATTTCATCAAGTTACTGACTAGTGTCAGTGACTATACAGCAATCCTCAAAATAAGCAAGCATTTAGCGACAGTGGAGAGAAAAACTCCCTTTTAACAGGAAGAAACCTCTAGAGGATGCTGGCTCAGTATAAGCAGCCATCCACCACGACTCGCTGGGGATCGAGAAGATGGCACACACACACACACACACACACACACACACACACACGCGCAATATACCAAGTAATGTTTCTATGGTTACATTGTGATTTCTTAGTAAATATATTTGGTGAGATAAACTTTATTGTATTTATCCTAGTGAATCTATAATTAAATGGGTAAACTAGTAGTAGCACATTCAATGTCAAAGAAAGTAAAATGTTATTATCAGGAGAGGGAGATTGTTTAAATGGTTAGCAACAGTGTTTAAGTCGATGGCCCCCTCCATGAGGCCACCACAGCTCAGCAGAACATCATTGTAGCTTCTTCTGGGGAGAAAAACACAGAGAAAAAATAAAGTTAACAGCTGAAATTGCAGGAAATAATACAGTTAAAGAGCAGATTGTAGAAAAAAGTAGTCGAGTGTGGAAAATGGTCAGTGTGCCCTCCAGCAGCCTAAGCCTATAGCAGCATAACTACAGACATAACTCTGGATAACCAAGCCTTTTAGATGGAGGCATGTTGGAGTCAGGGCAAGGGAGAGCTGTCTTTACTGACTGTATTCTCCACCTCCCTCTACTCCCCCACTTGTCCAGATCTAGGCTAACATCAGATTTTAACCATAGGCCCTATCAAATAAAAATGTTTTAAGCCTAGTCTTAAAAGTAGACAAGGTGTCTGCCTCACGGACTAAAGCTGGGAGCTGGTTCCACAGGAGAGGAGCCTGATAGCTAAAAGATCTCCCTCCCATCCTATTTTTTGTTATTCTGGAAACCACCAGTAAAGCTGCTGTCTGAGAGCGAAGTGCTCAGTTAGGACCAGCTGTGTGGAATTCCTGCGGATATAAAGAGTAGAATGGATAAAATATCCAAAATTCAAATAACTGGTCAACAGTGTTGTGTAGTACAAATTGACAGAAAGACATTAGTACTCTTAAATGGTAGATTGACTCAAAAGAGCTGTAGAATAGGATGGTGCATGGTGGGGCAGTGGTTAGCACTGTTGCCTCGCAGCACGAAGGTCGCAGGTTCGATACTCGCCTGCGGCCTTTCTGCGTGGAGTTGCGTGTTCTCCCCATGCATGCGTGGGTTTCTTCCGGGTACTCCGGCTTCCCCCACAGATCACAACATGCCCTATAGGTTATAAATTGTAAGTCGCTTTGGATAAAAGTGTCTGCTAAATAAATAAACATAAACATAAAAATATTCTTGATCAAGCAGAAAAGAAACAGAATTCAAATGGATTTTGTTAATGATGGTGTCTAAATTCTGTTTCTTCTACATCCTTTTTGTTTTAGCTTTCGTCTGTTTGACGAGAAAAAGGACGTGCTGATCCTGCTGTTCTTGGAGGAGATCCCTCCTCATCATCTGTCTCCACATTACCGTATGAGGAAGCTGGTGAAGAAACGCACCTACCTCAGCTGGCCTCAGGCTGCACACCCAGGAGTTTTCTGGCAGAACGTCCAGAGAGCTCTGCAGACAGGAGACGCTGTTGCTGAGAACACAGACCTGCTGACCGGAACTTAATATTATTGTTTTACTACACTGATGAATTATATTTTGCTGTAGTTTTCTCTTCTGTATGTGGATTTTTGAAAGTTTTGCATCCATCTGGTAGGATAATTGCTTGAACAACAACAACAATTTAAAGGAAATGTTCTTTTTTCCAATCTGCAGTGATCATGTTGAGTAAAACCACTTTTCAATCATCTGTAATCATTTTAAGGAATGGTTTATAATCTATTTGCTAGTGATTTTACTTGCATTGAAAATAAAAATAGTTTTCCTTTTGTTCTGCTTTTTGCTGCTTAGAGCGAGGAAGTGAGAAGAAGTGATGTCAACAGTCGCCATTTTCTGTTCCTCAAATGTTAAATGAAAGTTTTATTTTAAAGGATGTTGGTGGACTTCTTTTTGGCAAGTTGCAACTTCTAGCCTCTTAAATAGTTCTCTTTAAATTTCTGTCTCATTAAAAGAGTCAACTGTGCTCCTAAACATCACAGCAAATTAGAGTACCACTGTGTAAGTAAAAACTAATAAACAATGTTTATATAGTCATAAAAAGTTCTTCTCACTCAGGGAAATGTAAATACATCACAAGTTTACCACTGCTGCCAACTTCTTGTCTCAAATCTATAAAGGTGTAATTCTTTTTTACTTGTCAGCACAATTAGTGAACTCATTTAATACACAATCTTTACTTATTGCAAAAAAAAAGCTTCAAATTCCAAAAACATGTGACAGAATTAATTTTAGGGTTGCATTTAAATTTGAAGCTTCAAATTCTGCTTTAATCTTGTCAGGTTCGTTGGCAGATCAGAATCGTGACTGAGAGTTCGGTTGCCCAGACGCGGAGAGACGGAGATAACCGGCGTGGTTATCTCCTGAAGGTGTAGTTTGGAAGGTTTTGAGGGCTGGTAAGCCTGGAGACTCGATACAAAGTCTGGTGAGAACGATGACTGAGCAATGAATGAAACGCCGGCACTTCCTTAAGTAGTGTCGGCGTGATGACGTCAGTCGCCACGTTGGTGGCAGGAATGAATGGAATGCAGTCAGCTGGAGGAGTTCGTGACAGGACCCCCCCCCCCCCCCCCTCTAGGGACGGCACCCGAAGTCCCAGGACGGCGGGCCCAGAAGTCAGTTAGCAGGGTAGGGTCGACAAACGAGCTCGTGGGCTCCCAAGAGCGTTCCTCAGGCCCGTACCCCTCCCAGTCCACGAGATACTGCCAACCTCGTCCCCGGCGGCGAGCGTCCAGAATCCTGCGGACCGTGTAGGTACGATCCGCCTCAACCCCGCGGGGCGGAGGCACCCGGACCGGCGGAGGGTGGAGAGGGGAGGAGATCACCGGCTTAAGCTGGGAGACGTGAAAGACCGGGTGGATCCGGAGAGTAGCCGGGAGGCGCAGACGGCAGGTGACTGGATTGATGACCTTGAGGACAGGGAACGGACCCAGGAAGCGAGGAGTGAGCTTCCGGGAGCCCGCCGGCATCCTCAGGTTAGCGGAGGAGAGCCACACCTGGTCGCCAGACCGGAAGACGGGGCCAGGCCGGTGGCGGCGGCGATGCTGACGGGCATACTCCGTGTTGGCCCGGGTGATGGCCGCACGGGCCCGGATCCAGGCGAGCCGACAGCGGCGGACCAGCGTCTGGGCAGCAGGGACCTCCACCTCGGGCACCTGATGGTCAAACAGAGGAGGCTGGTACCCGTAACAGGTCTCAAAGGGAGACAGACTCGTGGCAGAGGAGGTCGGGAGGTTGTGTGACAGCTCCGCTCACAGGAGAAAGCGGGGCCAGGTGGTCGGCTGGGACGAAGCGAAGCAGCGCAAGTAGCGTCCAAGCTGCTGGTTCGCCCTCTCTGTCTGACTGTTAGTCTGCGGATGGTATCCAGAGGACAGACTGGTGGAAGCACCGACCAGGCGACAGAACGCTTTCCAGAAGCGTGAAACGAACTGGGGTCCTCGGTCGGAAACCACGTCCTGAGGGAAACCATGGAGTCGCACCACCTGTTCCAGGAGCAGTTCGGCCGTCCTCTTGGCAGTGGGGAGGCCGGCCAGGGCCACTAAGTGCACGGCCTTGGAGAAACGGTCCGTGATAGTCAATATAGTGTCCAGGTGGTCGACCGCCGGCAGTCCCGTGACAAAGTCCAGCCCGATGTGTGACCACGGCCGCTTGGGCACAGGGAGAGGCTGCAACTCTCCAGCGCCGGGTCGGTTGGAGGACTTGGAGCGAGCACACACATCACATGCAGCTGTGAACTCGCGGACGTCCCTCCTCATGGACGGCCACCAGAGAGCCCGACGGAGGAACTGGAGGGTACGGGCTTGTCCTTGATGTCCTGCGAGCCGCGAACAATGCCCCCACGTGAGCGCCTCTTGCCGGCAGGAGGCGGGAACGTAGAGACGGTTCGATGGGGTCTCCGGCGGCGCTGGATCGCCAGGAAGTGCCGCCTGTATGGACTACTCCAACGGCCATTGGAGGGAGGCCAGGAAGCGTTGAGTCGGTAGAATGGTCCGAGGCTCCGGGGGGGCGGCATCTGGTGCGAAACGCAGAGAGAGAGCGTCCGCCTTGAGGTTCTTGGAGCCGGGCCGGTAGGCGATATGGAAGTGGTACGGCTCGAAAAAGAGGGCCCACCGAGCCTGACGTGGGTTGAGCTGGCGGGCAGTCTGTAGATGAATGAGATTCTGGTGGTCGGTCCAGATCAGAAAGGGATCGGTGGTCCCCAGGAGCCACTGCCTCCACTCCTCCAGCGCCCATTTTATTGCCAGCAGCTCTCTGTCGCCGACCCCGTAGTTCTGCTGTGTGGGGGAAAACTTCCGGGAGAAGTAGGCACATGGGTGGAGCTTAGAGTCTGGACCCCGTTGCGAGAGAACGGCCCCCGCTCCCACATCTGAGGCGTCCACCTCCACGACGAAGGGCCGGGTCTGGTCCGGGTGGAGGAGGATGGGTTCTTTATTAAAACGTCCGACCAGCTCATGGAAAGCACGGACAGCCTCTGGAGTAAGGCGAAAAGGGCGAGGCTGATTGGTGGTTTTGGTGAGTGAGGTCAGAGGCACTGCGAGGGAACTGAAGTTGCGTATAAACCTTTGATTAAAGTTCGAGAAACCCAGGAAGCTTTGCAGCTGCTTCAGGGTCGTGGGTAGAGGCCACTGAGCTACGGCCTGAACCTTCTGGGGGTCCATCTTCAGGCCCTGGGAGGAGATGGTAAAACCCAGGGAGGAGGTGGACTCCTGGTGAAACGCACACTTCTCCAGTTTGCAGTAAAGTCCATGGTCCAGGAGGCGGGACAGAACAGCTCGAACATGCCTGATGTGCTCTTCGGCCGTGCGGGAGTAGATGAGGATGTCATCTAGATACACAAAGACCCAGCGACCCAACATGTCTCTCAGCACATCTGTAATGAACCGCTGGAAGACGGCGGGGCTGTTGCAGAGTCCAAAAGGCATCACCAAATATTCATAGTGGCCAGTGGGCGTGATAAAAGCAGTCTTCCACTCCTCACCTTCCTTAATACGGATGAGGTTATAGGCGCTGCGCAGATCCAGTTTAGTGAACACTGCAGCTTGTGTGATGGCGTCCAGAGCGGTGCCCATGAGAGGGAGAGGGTGACGGTCCCGGATCGTTATTTTATTTAACCCTCGATAGTCTATGCAGGGCCGGAGATCCCCCTCCTTCTTCTTAACAAAGAAAAACCCCGCGGCCCCGGGGGATGTTGAGGGACGGATGAATCCCTTCTGCAGGGCATCAGTTATATAATTGTCCATAGCCCGGGTTTCCGCCGGAGAGAGGGAGAACAGGCGACCCCGAGGGGGGGGTGGTGCCGGGCTGGAGCCTGATCTCCAGGTCGTAGGGTCGGTGAGGAGGTAACCTGGTATTGGGTTCTTTAACGAAGACCTGAGCGAGGTCGTGGTATTGAGGAGGGATGAGCGTCAGGTCTACGTCTGTGGGAGGGGCTGCTCCAGTCCGAGGTGCAGGGGAGTCCCGGTGGTTATGGCAGCCCGTGCCCCAGGCCAGGACTTTACTGGTGAACCAGGAGATGTGAGGCTCATGTCGGCAGAACCAGGAATGACCCAGGATGAGAGGCGTAGCCGGAGCCTGGATGACCAGGAAGTGGAGGGTCTCCCGGTGTTGGTCAATAGTCATGTGGAGACCCTGAGTTCGGTGGGTGAGAGGGTACGGCATGATGGGCCGGCCGTCCACAGAGGTCACGGGAATGGGTCGGTCGAGGGCGGTGAGGGGTATCTTGAGCCGAGTAGCCAGTCCGTGATCGATAAAACACTCCGCAGCCCCAGTGTCTAAAAGTGCCTCCAGTCTGGTCGGGCCTTGGTCCAGGTGGAGGGAGACCGGGAGAGTGGTTCGGTGTGGAGCCGGAAAAGTGGAGACTCCGGGCGGGACAGCCCCTACTCCGACCCGGAGGGACCTTTTCCCGGTCGTCTTGGGCACGTGCCACGGTGGTGACCCAAATCCCCACAGTAAGCGCATCGTCCCTCCTGGTAGCGCCGTGCCCGTTCCTCAGGGGGGAGATGTCCCAGCTGCATCGGCTCCTCCGTCGGTTGGTGAGCCGGCCGGCGGGGTGACGTCCTGGTGTGTACGGGGGCTGACATGGTGCTCGGCCGGTTCAGGATGCAGCGGTCCAGGTGGAGAGCCAGATCCACTGCCAGGTCCAGGGAGGTTGGGACCTCGTGCCCGATCATGCCCTCCCGGATTCTCGGGTGACAATCCCTCCAGGTAAACGGCCTTTAGGGCGGCGTCATCCCACCTCAACCGAGCTGCTGTCGTCCGGAAGCGAGAGGTGTACTGAGCCGCCGTCTGGGAGCCCTGTCGGAGCTGAAGCAGCCGAGTCTCGTCCGAGACCTCGCTGCTGGGGTGCACAAAAGTCTTTTTCATCTCCTTTACAAAAGTCTCATAGTCATTGCAGGCAGGAGATTTCTGATTGTAAAGAGCCGCCGCCCATTCACCGGCTCGACCTGTCAGCAGTGAGGTCAGCAGGGCGACGCGAGAGCAGGATGTGGGGTAGCGTGCTGGCTGGCACTCAAAAGTCATGGCCAGGGTCGCCAACATGCCCTCCGGGGACCCCCTGGTTCCGTCCCACTTATCTGGAAGGCTGAGGCGTGGTTCCATCTTGTCAGGAACAGCTGCGGTCTGACGTTGCAGAGCGGTGGTTAGCTGGAGTACTAGATCGGTGAGTGACTCTATCTTGGTGGCTTGGCGATCAGCTATGGCACGGAGCTGGTTCATTTCTGCCGTATGCTGATCCAAGGTTGCGCGCTGTTGAGCCACTTCGGCACGCAGACGCGCGAACTCCGCTGGGTCAATTCGTGGCTCAGTCATCCTGTCAGGTTCGTTGGCAGATCAGAATCGTGACTGAGAGTTCGGTTGCCCAGACGCGGAGAGACG